TCTCCCTAGCAGGTGGGAGCATGTCAGAGGGGAAGAAGAAGCCATGAACTGCCCTGTTTTAGTGGGGCTCTTCCTGTCTGAAACCCCACCTGCCCATTCCGTGAAAGACTTCTTCAGGTCCTCCAGGGAGCCCGGCCGGGGCCTGCTCAATGTCCCGGCCACATGTGGTGCCTTGGACCCAAGACGCCCCTCACTGCTGCATCTGCTGTCTACTGTGGCATGGGGTGCCCCTGCCCGGACCAGAGACTGGTGCTATTTTGTACTAAGTATTTGTGTTGCTCTGGGGTTATTTTTCTATTTGTTCTCTTGGTTTTTAAGTTCAGGTGAAATTTTTATCAAATGGCAAAAAGGGGAAGAAACAATATTTGTAGCTTTGTGGGGGACCAGCGCTTTTTAACTTATTGGAGGCTGATGACCGATGGCACATGAAATGTACTAGCTGGACCAAACCCAGGCTGGCTGCTGCTGGCTCTGTGTCAGGTCACAGGCTGCAGGCCAGTGCTTGGGAATGGAGGAGCCAGCCTGAGAGTCTCCCAGCCTGGACCGTGTTGTGCAAGGCTGAGAACGGGAGTGTGAGTGCACAAAGCCCTTTGTTTATAGCCAGAGTTTGCCTGCCATGAATGCTCCAAAGGGCTAAATGGCCTTGGTGCTTACAGGGAGCTGCCCCTTTTGGGCTCCCAGGTGCTGGAAGGGTCCCAGCAGGTGCCCCCCTCTGCACTGGCTTTCCCTCTTGTTGTGTTTCATCTGGGGGCTCTTTCGGTAGGTCCTCTGCCTGCCCTCTATCCTTAGCCCATCTCAAGCTCCTTACGCTGTCAGGCAGGAGAAAACTCCAGACACTTTGGGCAGTGCCACCTCTGCCAGAGAGAAGCTTTCACAGGTCAGACAGGACAGGTTGAGGATCAGGCCTCTTCCAGCCCCTGTCCTAGCCAGAGCCAGAGTCCCTTTCTCTAGGTTAGAAAAGCCGCTTGCCCTTCTCAGCCTTTCTCTCCTCTGCTGCTCCAGCGCCCATGTGGGAGCACCTTACAAACAACAATGCCTAGGCGGCTACATGGCAGTGAAGGCCGTGCCTGGGCACTCCTGAGCCACAGGCCCCTTTTCCTGCCCTCTGGTTATAGTCAGGATGCTCCTTGGGGGTCTCAGTCAGCATTAGCCAAAGGAAAGGGCTTGGTGGTTTTCTCAGGCCTCCGAGCCCCAGTGCTACGGGGGCTGTTTACACTCTCCATCTGCCACCTTGTCTGCCCACTTCCAGCCAAGCCATTCACTGGGAGGTACAGGTGGTGGGCAGGGCCTTGATGGGCACCCCGCCCTCCCTCCTGCTTCCACCACATCTGGGCACTGCTGGGCACCTACCAGCATTCATGGGAACATCAAGCTGCTGCCCAGCCCCTTTGTGCTCAGACCCTGCCCAAGGAGGCACCTCAGAAATGGGTACGATGTTACAGGCTGTGCCAGCAAGAATCCTGCATTTAAAGGGAGAATGTCCGGGTGTTACTGAGACCTGGACATCCTGTGTGGTCAGGAGCTGGGCAGGTTTCACAAGAAGGCTTCGGTAGTTGATTTCTCCACTTGTAAGCCATGGCTGGAAGCTCAGAGGCGGGTACGGCTGCATTATCCATGTGTGTTTTGCCGCTGGGTGGAACACATGCACCTGCAGAAGGGCTGCAAGTTCCTAGAGGGACCTGTTCGCCATCTTCCCCCCCCCCCCCAACCAGGTTTTCATTTGAAGAAGTTTCACCTCATCCTTCACCAGGAACCAGCGTTCTCTCTGAGAGCAACAGCACTGGAAGAAACCCAGGCACAGGCCAGCGAGCCCTTCAAGGCGAGTGTGGAGCTGCCTTGTAGAGGCACCTGTAACCACGCACGCTTTCGTCCCTGCTCTTCAACCCAGCGGTGTTGAACTGTGAGATGAGACTCAACAGGGAAACACTGAGGATGGTGCTAATGCTATTGTAAGGTCTTGCCGTTGTATGTTATTTCAAACAGCTTTGGAAATTTCTGTACTGCCGTGCTCCTCCCCACCCTGAATGCTGCCTCTCGCCCACCAGAAGCCACCATCTTAATAGGTATTTGGAAAAAGATGGAAAAGCCATGGTGGGGTGCATCAGTTTGACCCCTGCCTGTCTTGCTGCACTGTGTGTATATCTGTATACAGCATATGTATATGTGTATGGATGTGAGAGGGGTGGGGGTTTTACAATAAAGCTGTGCTAACTGGAGTCTTAAGTGGTCACTGTAATGACTTCTAATGAAGACAGCATTTCCTCGGATGGGTGCCAAGCTTGGAGACTGTTTCCACTGGGGACTGCCCCAGTTTGAACATTGTTGGGTGAGAGTACGTGGAAGTAGTGGATGCTGCCCCCAACGGCAGTGTGGGAGCCTTCACAAGAGATGCTACAGCCCCGGAGCTCAGTGGCCCAAGTGCTGCAGCCAACAGAGCCGATGTACTAGTAGTTCTCACGGTGGGCTCCACTGAGTTTGGAGGGTCTGGGTGTTCCTTTTAAGAGCCGAGGGACCAGGGTGCAGGGGACTTTAAGTCCAGATAGCAGAGATGGGCTGGGAGTAGTAGGGACAGCTGCAAGGGGCACAGGTGCCAGGCTAGAATCCCATCAGCCTTCCTTTGGGGGCACAGATGGAAAGAGTCCAACTCCAGGGGGAGTTGTCCAACTAAACTCAAAGCCGTGTGTCCATCCCAGGCCCTTCTCGGCCCCTGTAGCTGCTTCCTGGCTTTGGCAGGGGGTTCTGTGGGGTGATCAAGTCTGGGGATAACTGGTGAGACAGTGATGGATGGAGCTAATCACCAGCCCCCACTGCAAACCAGAGCAAGTTTAAAAATAGCCTGCCCTGCGTGGCACTGCTGCTTTCCCAGCAGTGACATCACCGCTCTGTGGGGGAGCCGGCACTGCCGGGGGCTCCCAGCGCACACATCACTTGAACCGCAGGGGCTCAGCTTCCAGTCAGCCGGGGTGGGGAGCTGAGTGTCCAGCATGGTCAAACCACAGCGTGTGTATTAATAGCATCAGACAAAAGCACCCAGTGTGTGCGTGGGAGGCAGGCGCAATGTCCAGCCTGTGCACAATAGGGCAGTTGCCCACCCGTCCCGTAAGTGAAGCCTTGGGGCACGAGTCCACCCATGGGTGCTCCACAGATTATGGGCATGGAAGGGGTGACAGACCAGCACAGGCCTTGCTCAGCCTGCAGGAAAGCATTGGCCCAAGCAGGACCAGGGACTGGTGCATCACAGTTGGTAGGGGCTATGTGTGGAGGCTGTGGGTTAATTTGTGTTTGGGTAAAACTGAATCTTGTGTAGGCAGAAGTTGCCAGTGTGATGCCAAGACCAGCTGAACAAGAGCATGTTGGACTCAAACGCTAGGCTGGCTTCCAAACCAATTCTGTGTTCATGCCATGGTCCTGGTCCTGCTCTAGGATGCTCTAAAGGGCCATGGCCTGACAGAGAGGCCACCTCTCTTCACACACCTAGCCTTGGCAGCTCAGCTCTCCAAGGGCAATACGCTGACCCAGTGCCAGTCTCAGCTCATGGGTGGTTTTGGTGGAGCCCCTCAGCCTTGAGACCCCATCGCCATCCAATGGACTGAGCATGAAGAGTGCAACCCTTGGGCAGCACTGAAGGCCTTGCCGTGGTGAGGGAGGAGTGGAAAGAGCCCAGCAACATGGTTGCTGGAAGTAACTATGCCAGCCGGACTTCTCAGAGGTCAATAGGACTAAAGTATGAGGAGAGGACAGAGGTGTGGAGGCTCTAATGCTGCTCCAGGTGCACGTCATGGTTCCTCACTATTACAGTGCTGGGGTTTTTAAAGATGTATAAATAATTGTAGGAGGACTAGAACAGTCTTGTCGGGGTGCCCAGCCCATCACCTACCACTGCAGCAACCTCTTGACTTGGCCATGGCACCAGGAACTACGGACTCAGGACACCGGAGCCTGTTCCCTCATCAGCAAGTCACTTTGCCACTCGGGGCCTCAGTTTCCCCACAGGGAAGATATGGATTCCCATGGAATGCTCATCATGGGCTTAAATGTATTCAAGCTTATAATATGCTTTGAAGTGCTCAAAGTTAGACGCATGCCAAGGACCCTTACCAGGAAGGGCTGATCACCCTGGGTTGTGCTTCAGGTGGCCTTGTAGAGGGGGTGAGTTATTTGCAGTAACTCTACCCCCTGGCTGAAGGCCTGGGGGCTTCTTGGGCTGCCGACTCCAAAGCTCCCATATATTAAGAGGATCCCGTACCGCAGGATCACTTGGTATCCAAGTGTTGCTCACTCCAAAGTGTCACAGGGCTTTGCCAGCAGCTTTAGCATGTGGTTTTGGGGCTTCTTTTCTCCTCAAATGACTATAAACCAGGATGACAGGAGCAGAACGGCTCAATTAGATGGAAAAAATCATCAGGAGTCAGAAGCATCGAGTTCCTGGAACACCCTGAAATTGGTCTAATTGTCTTGTTGGGGAGGGGAGGCAATAACCTCACTCACCCCCACCCCCACGAGATGATCTCATCTGCACTGAGGCAGTATCTGTCCAGTGTGACTGGACCCGCTCAGAGCGGGTACCCTCACAGGGCAGGGGGCAGAATTGCTTTGGGGGTGGGTGGGGGCAGGTTGATAAGAACCCAGAAGCCTCAAGCTGGGCTGCTGTTACTTAGGACACACCAGCCACAGCAGCAGCAGCAGCAGCAGTTGTGTGGCATCCAACTCTTTTTCTGTTGACTCCTGAGGACTTGGAGCTGCTTTCTGAAGCTGTCCCAGGCTGTGCTTTCAGGGGAGAGCATCTGGCAGGAGAGGATTCTATGGGACAGGTGAGATTTCACACTCGAGCCATCATTTATGAAGGGTTAGGTGGCAGGTTGCTTCTTACTTGGACAGGATGCTTTTACCGTGATGCCTGGTCCTCGCAGTGCAAGTGCTTAAGGTGGATTTTTAGAGGAAAAGAGAGAGACCATAAGAAAATTGCCTGATACAACCTGCAAATGGCTTTTCAGTCTCTTCTCTTGAGTCCAGCACAAATGTGACCATAGAGAAAACAAACCTGCAGTCTTCCTGCTCCTTCCACCTGTGCTGTTCCTAATCTTGGAGCTATGGGTATGGGATTCCTCCTTTCAGCTGACTAGTCCTTCCAGTCTCTGGAAGATCAGCAGTTCTTGATACAAACAGCTAGGGCAAAACACTCTAAACTTGACCCCTCAGCCTGAAAGTAGTAGAAACTCCCCCACCCCATCCCAAAAAATAAGTTGAAGAAGGGAAAACTAAAAGCTAACATTGAGGCTTAATTTAAAATTAAATGTCAAAAGACAAATCCTAGGTTTGCTGTGAAGGGGAAAGATCTAATGAATCATGCTGCTTGTTGCTTTGGCTGCACAACATAGTAAAGCCCTTCCATAGACGTGATCCAGTTTGGGAAGGTTTTTCTAGCTGATTTCCTTGGGGAACAGAGCAAAGAGCCTGGCATGAAGAGAAAGAAACAAACATTTTTTAACACTTAAACCAACCCCCTGTAAACCAAAGAAAGGGCAGAGTGACACCTTAGAGACTAGCTTATTCAGAAAGGCACGAGCTTAGGGTGCTTGTACATGTGAGGATGTGACAGCCTGCTCCAGCAGATGCTAGGACTTTCAGAGCTTGGCTTCCTAAACTCAGAGCATGCGCCAGATGCTGCTCAGGTGGGTACATCACAGGAAGCAATAGTGGTGTTACTTCAGAAGACAGTAGCTGACACAGGGCAAGTATTTGGGGCTGTAGCATTTGAAAGACTCTCGCTCTCCGTCTGTCGCTCTCTCAGCACAACCTGTTGGCTTTCCATGTCCTCCCTGACCATGCGCTCTCTGTTTGCTTGCAGCCTTCCTAGGCAATGATGCCCGGTCCCAGAGTCTTACCATTACTGACCTTCTTGATTGTGGCCTGGTCTCCAGCGACAGCCTCTAAGGAAATGGGCAGTGAGAGGCTTCAGGAGGTCAGCGATGCTGGAGCCAACAGCTGCCAAACCAGCCACGAGCAGAGAGACCACCCTGTGAGAGAAACAACAGTGGGAAATGGCAAGGCCCCCCCGAAGCTTCTGGCTGTGGAGGATCCCTCAGCAGCACGTGGACATCAGCACAGAACCAGTGCTATGGTGAGGTCTAGGTGCAAGGTGACACACAGGCCATTGCCAGGGGGACTGTCCACCCTGCTGAAGCTCAACCACAACGGGGCTGCTGCTGTCGTGAAAAAGAGCAGCCCTGGATCCAAGGTCTCTTTGTCTCTCGATGTCCCTCTGCATATCCTAAGAGTCCTGCTCGAAGAAGCCAAAGTCAAGGACATGCAAGCCAAAGCAGCAGCCAACGCAGAGCTCATGGCCCGAATCGGGCGTCGAAAGTAAATCTCAATCGTGTGAGCTCAAGTTGTCCAGACTCTGGGATTCTCTGTAGCATAATGCAGCCCCTGTGATGTAACCAGTGCACTTGTTCCTGAGTTGTGGCCCGTGGTTCAGAAAGCGCTTGCTGGTGGTTCACTGAGAACTGGCTGTTCGTAGGGTGCTGACTCCTACCTCTTTGGATCTAGCTCCTTGTAGACAGGTGCCAACTCCTTTTCCTCCAGAAAAGGTTAGTTGCCTGGAAAAAAACCCAACTGGAAACAAACAGGGGCAGTCACTTCTCATCTTTTTCCTCAGTTTTCCCCTCTGTAGAAGGGGAACAATTATGGCACCCCTTCCCCTCAAAAGTATATAAAGTGCTCTACAGACAAAAGCCCTATGCTGTACCTGCCAGACATACTTAATGTGCCAGGTAGAGAGGCTTTTATTTAGTCTCCGTTCAGAAACATTTTTGCTGTAGTCAGTGCCTAAATGAAAGGATCTAAGAACTCACCTTTAATTATGTACATACCTGCAATGGCCTTTGGCAGGGCTGGGCTGAGCTTGCTTGCACTTCATCTATCTGTATCCAGAGGAAGGATGGTCTGGGAGGGACAACTCTGCACTGAAATTCAGCAGCTCCGGAGATCTATTTTGATTTCTCCTACAGATTTCCTGGTAGAGTTGAGAAGGGCTCATAACCCCTTTCTTTGTGTCTCAGTTTCCATTTCTGTAAAATGGAGATAAAGATAGTTCCTACTTCACAGGTGTTGGGAGGATAATGATCAATAATGGGTCGGGTATGGAAAAGTCAGGGAACAAGCAAGCAGAGAGGAGGGCCTGGGAATCCACGGTACCTTCTGTCTGCATATTCTGGAGCCACTGTCAAGTCCAAACAGCCCCAGGGGCTTCTGTCAAACTAATGTGGGAAGTGGGAAAGGCACCAGAGTTGCTGTGTGACACAGAACAAGCAAAAAACGAGATAAATGCTGCTCCCTTCTCCTATACCAGTCGACAGCCAGCATTTTACAGATCCCTGGCCCCCAACCCCTGGCTGGCAGGTAGCTTGGGGGCCCCTAGCAAAAAACTATTTCTTGACAGTTTTGTTTTAATGAAAGGAAGTTGATCTTTAAGGAGAATGTTTCCCTGTGCTTTGGACAGAAAATGAAACAACTCCGGGGATAATACAGAAAGCAAAATTGACAGGTGAGGTTTACAGGAACAAATTGAGACAGGTTAAGAGCTAATGGACAGGAACAATGGATATTTGTCTCAGTAATCTCTGGGACCCTGGGAAAAGAAACACAAGTCAATTAGGCCTGGCTCTTCCCTTTATGTCGGCGTAGTTCTGTTGTTGCAGTAGAACAATACCTCCTGCTTACAACATTGTGGGATCAGACATGACCTCTGGATTTCTCTCTAGACAGGTTTCCCTCCGGCTGCAGGGACAGCTGTCTCTTTGTGACTCAGGCTACCAAATCTGGCACTTCACCCAATACAATGTACTGCTGTATATTTTTAAATATGCCAGTTTCCAGACATTTGAAATACAAGGTCTTAAATGTGTTTCCTTCTTGCTATCTCTATGCATCTCTTTATAAAAAAAAGATGTTCATTCTCCTGTATAAGAGAGTTTATATTTATCACGCCGAAGAATTTAGGAGAGAGTGCAAAGAAAGATGGGATATGTAAAATAAAAGGAGTCTTATCAAACACTTCTGTTGTCTGTATAACCATTCGACTAGTATGTCACATCTGACTGCATCATCATAACCTGGTAGGACCCTGTCCCCCAAGGTAGCATGCATCTCTATCGTTGGGGACCAGACAATAGATGAGCCCAGAAATAAGTGAAGCTGCAGCAAGTTGCTCCTTCCTTCTATCGGCATTTTGTCTCCTGAATAGGGTAGTAACCAAGCCAGGGGTTGATAGAAGTGTACCATGCTGGCAGCGTGCAAGTCATTTGGGAGTAAGGTGGCAAGTAAGAGGCAAAGTCACCCCTGCGGTTGTCAACTGACTGAAGAGTAAAATTAGTTCTTGTGAGGTCCTTCTGGACCAAGAGTGAAGTGGAGACAATATGGGTCAGGAACTGCTGTGATGATAGCAGGCCGCAAGGAGAGCAGTTCCCATCTAGCAGGATGTAATTGTGCAAAGCCCTTGAACAACTGCTTTGGAGCTGACCCAGGTGTAGCAGTGACAATCTCTGGCAACAAGCCATGTTCAAATCCTCCTTGACCAAATTCAATGGTGTGTATAGGGAAATAAAGAGAAAGCAGAGTCATTTGGCAATAGAAATAGGAGCCAAATTAAACCTGGTTCATGGAAAGCAGTGAAATGGCACCAGTTTATGTCAGTCAAGTATTTGACCTCCCCCCACTTGCTCCACATGTCTTATTTGGGTCTCCAACCAGGGTTTTAGCAGAAACAACGCTCTTGCCAGCCATGAATGCAACTGTGTGTAAATGTGAAACGTCACATTTCACCGCTGGACCCTGACTCCCACGTCTTTGGTGAGCCTTTGAGATAACAGCAGAGAGCAGGGACCAGCCACCAGGTACAAAGTCCACTGCCTGTTTGCACAGGACAGGTAAAGGACTGGCTGGAAGGAGAAGCCCTCCTCAACCCAGCTGCAACTGTTTCTGGACACTGCCATGTTCTTTGATGACTACTTGATCACTGGTAAGTACGCTTCTCCTTACAGATCCTTGCAGTAGGTGCTAGCAGCAAAGCTACAGTATCTGGCAAGATGTTTCTTAAGAAGGACTCCTGTGCACTTTGTGATTCAGAGGGTCAGGCAGGTAGATAAACTGGTGCAGTGCCTGGAGGTTTCAGCAACAGGTGCTAACTCCGCCAATAAACAGTGCTAGGGGTGAGTAGTAACAGCCAGGCTTCCTTTTGCCAACACTTAAGACTCCTAGGTGCCATGATTTTTCCAGAGAATGATGACATTCCCCACAATGCGGCTTCTGTACAGTCTGACCTCTCCATCCAGAGAGGATGGAGGACATGCAGCCAGTGCCATGACACACTCGGATGTCCCATCTCACTTGCTGAGCAGAGCTGGACTGGATCTGAATTGTGAGAGTCCTTGGGTGTTCACTCACAGGTGGGGCTATAGCAATCCTCAGCGATTATAGTGGTAGGTAATGCCTTTCAGTCTGAATCAGTGCTGAACAGCCTGGCAGCATGACGCTAGGCGGAGCTGTGCTCCATTGCTGGAAGTGTCGGCTTTCAGATGAGATGTAAAATGTAAGCCCTACCTTCCTTTAGTCATTATGGGAGGTGCACAGCCGTGTCCTGGCTGAATTTCACTGAATTAATTCCAGGCTTCCCTAAATGCCCCTGCATTTTTAAGTAGTGTTGGAGTGATGCTGTAGCTGTGATGGTCCAGGCAGTTGGTCCAATAAAAGATAGCACCCTCAGAAACCCTTGGTCCTGCATTTTTTTAATGGGATATTGTGTCCATTCTCATTCCCAAACCATTGTTAGTGAAATGTTCAATGGATGCCACATCCCACACGGGCACACAAGAGAGGGGAATGGACTGAGACAGAGGCAGCCAAGGGTGTTGAGGACTCATAGTGCTAAATTACTCTGGCCCCTGCCACACGTTACATTTCAGGCATGATTAACCAGTTAATCACATCTTAAGTTGTAACCTGGCCACACGTTCAATCAATGATATGATACATAAGGAATAAGGCACCAAATTATTCCACAAAAAACATGTAATAAGTTTGTGTCTGGTTCCTATCACACCATTAATGGAAGGTGTAGCCAGGTGCACCCCTGGGGCTGGGAGCACTATCAGCTGAGAGGGCTCCCAGCTGCAGGTGCTTACTACTCTCTGCTCTGGGCAGAAAAGACAACTGGGGTCAAATAACCCCAGCAAGGTGCGTGTCCAGTCTCCTTTTGAAGACCTCCAGAGTAGGTGCCTGCACCACCCCTGCTGGGAGTCCGTTCCAGAGTCTGGTCACACAAACTGTATTTATATGATAATTTTAACCCTTGTACAACAGATAATACTGAAAGTGTTCAAAATGTACAATAAGCTTTTCACATCATTATATTTGGGGGAAAAAAACCAAGTAAATCACTCCACCGACAATCTCAGCTGAACTAGTTTATTTAATCCTATGATCTCACCCGTTCTCACTCGCATTGAATTGAAATTTGAGAAGGAATAAAGTGAGTCATATCTGCCATTTATCTTTAACTGGAGATTTAAACAGTGAGCAATAGAAAGTAGCTGCATAACAAACACATCGCTAAATCCCATTGTGTAATAATACTAAGAGCTTTATTTTAAATGCTATGTAACGTCTTAAATTGATTGGAAGTCAAAGGGGTTCTGCGCCTGCCTCGCTTGCAAATTCCAGGCACGTACCTAATACAGCCTGCTGCAAAATAAAGCGTACAAGATTTACAAGACGCAGCCCCGAGCCGCAAAACACAGAGACAAGAACAATCGCAGTAATAAATTCAGTTTAACCAGCAGCTGGAGAAAGACTTAAACCAAAACCTCCTGGCCAAGTCTTTGGGGAGAGGAGGTATCTTTTATTAGACCAACTAAATAGTTGCAAAAAAGCGGCTGAGCGGGCAGTGCCAAGCAGGGGGGCGCAGCCTGCGATGATGCCAGCAGAAGCGGCCACATAACATGACGTCACTTTAAAAAGTCTTATGTGTACACTTTTTGTTTCAGTGCATGACAGTTTTTCAGAAAATACGGGAACTGACCTTCCAATTTCATATTTAAAACCTGCTCCCTGCCCCGGACCGCAAACCAGGCTCCTCCCGACCCAGCCCAGCGCCCGACACCACCCCGCGCATGCGCAACCGGCTGCCTCCCTCTCGGGTCGCAGCCCTGGGCTGGGCCGTGCCCCGCCTACCACCCAGCGCCACCTTCCGCATAGCGCATGCGCAGCCCCCTCCTTTCGCCCGGCCACGTCGAGGTGAGTGACGGCTCCGGGCGCCCTGCGCGTGCGCACATGCGCGAGGCGGGCGGGCTGAGGTGTCCCAGTGACAGCCTGGCAGGAAGTGGCGTGCGGGCAGGAAGTGGCGCCGCTGCTGGGCTCGCGACCCTCTGCCCCCCGTGCCGGGCTTTGCGTTCCACGCGCCCCCCACCCCCCGCGCCAGGATGCTGAAGAAGTTCGATAAGAAGGACGAGGAGTCGGGTGAGGCGCGGCCGCAGGACGCCCCCTGGCGGCGGGGATGGGCGGGGCAGGGGCACCTGCCCATGCAAGGACAGCAGGGCCAGGGCTTGCTGCAGTGGGGCAGGGGCAGGGGCTGCAGTGATGCTGGGCCGGCATCTGCAGGTACCGGGCCACACCGGTGCCCCTCTGCCCCCATCCTGGTGCCCTGCTGGAGGTACCACCGGGCTGCACTGCTGCCCCATCCCCTGCCAGGTGCAGTGCCAGGGCTGGCGACACAGCCTGCCCCAGGTTCTGATCCTGCCCAGGTGTTCGTGCGTTCTCCACACGTGGGAGCTGACCTCGGCCATCCGTGTCCAGGGGTGTCTCCACCTCTGCAAGGACAGGCTGGCTGGCTCCACGGGGCCAGGCCAACCTGGAAATGCTCAGCAACAGGGGGTGCTACCGTGGTATATCATGGAGGACAGGGGCGAGGGTTGGGATGATAACGAGGGATTGGAGGGGGGCGCGGAGCAGGGAACATCAGCTGGCGCCCACTGCTCCTCAAACGCATCCAGGGCTATGTGGTGTGCATTGGGAATGCGGGCTAATGCCCACCATGTAAAGCTACAAGCCCCCCTTTAATATGGGGTGCCACTAAGTGCACATGACATTATTGCTGGGGACACCTAAAGAAGAAAATGGGGACAGGAGTGAAGGTTTAAAAGGGGCACACCATGGAGGGACACAGAGCAGAGCACGCTGGCCAGCAGCCACTGGCTCACCACCAAGTCCAAGGAGCCAGTGAAACTCTGCCTGGAGACGTGAACAAAGCCAGGACAAGAAAGCAGCCCTTGAATGCATCTAGGGAGCCTGCAAATGCTGCCCAGTAAAACTGCCTGGAGATATGTGTGGAGGAAGATCTGCCCACAGGTCCCCAGGTTGGCTCCACCCTGGGTGTCCTTCCAAGTCTGGTAGATGACAAGCTTGGCCAGAGCCAAGTGGAGGTTGCCCAGCAGACCTGCCAGGAAGGGATTTACTTGGACTTGATGACCCCAGAGGTCCCTTCCAGCTCTTCTCTATGATTTCTATTTTGCTGCATGTCAGACCTGTTGATATAGGTTTGGGCCTTCTCTGAGCCTGTTTCTCCTTCAGCTCAGTACTTCCTAATGATTTTGTGCTTTTGGGGGTGGGACTAGCTTTTTGGGCTCTCTCTCCAGGGACTCTATATAATGGCACCTAAGACACATGTCAGGGCCTCTCATGGTCTGTGCAAATGTCGGAGAGGCTGTTAAGGAGGCTGATTGAAGATGCGATTGGTCCTTTGTGTTGTGGCTTTGGCACTCTGTCCACCTCAGTGTACTTCACCCTGCTTCCTACAAGCTTTTATTTACTGTATCCACCCGGCCTGCACATCTTGGAGACCTTCCAAGTCCACGTGAATATTTTTGCTCTGGTTCTTGGTGCTTGTTTGCATCAGGCTTTTCCATGTTAAATGAAGTTTCCTCTCTCCAAGCTACATGCACAACAAAAAGCTAATCCACAGAGGATGTCTTTCAGTCTTGAACTCTTGCCAAGTTCAGGTTTAAGTGATGTAGCGTGTCCCTTAGCTTACTGACCTCACAGATTAGTCTAGTACATCCAATCATAAAAGGACAGAGAAGATCATTTTGTGGGTAAAACCTGGTAGTCAGGGGACCAGAGATCTTTTCCAGTTCTTCCACATCCTTCTTATGCAGCCTGGGCAAGCCATGTAAGGGCAATTTCAAAAGTGGCCCCAACTTTTGAGTGTCCAGTGCAAGGCATGTAGCGGTGCTGAGCATTCCCAACACCCCGCGGAGGTCAGCGGAAGCATGTCCACAAACCAGTACTCAATTAGAGGTCATTTTGGTAACTGTAGCCCATAACTTATGTGCCTTGGTTTTCCCCATCTCTGAAATGGGGATAATTATTTGGGTTGCAGGATGCTTTAGTAGTTAAGTCAACACAGATAAAATGCCTTAAGATGCTTAGGTGCAAGGAGTTGGAGAAGGGTCACGCGATTGATGATGGTTAGTAATATTAATGGCAGGTTTGAGAATTACAAATATTAGAAGCCAAAGTGATCCTTGGGTTGCAGGAGTGAGCAGAGTTAGGGGCACTGGGTGCTGTTAAGCCTTCCCTGCTAGGTGAGCTTATTCAACCCGCTTTTGGAGTACGTACATCTACAAACACTGGCATTCATCGCTCCTCTCTTGTCGTCTCCCTTCTCTCTTCATCTGCACATTTAAGCTTTGTTAAGCCACATGTTGTGTTGGTGAATGGATCCCAAGGTGGAGGGGTGTCTCTTGCTTACATGAAAGGAACCAGTGCCTTTAAGTATAGATCTGAGTCTTACACAGACTGCTTCCCCCTTATACAATTCTTCAGGGCCAGATCATAACAGGGCATTACATGTCAGGGACTATACTGAATGCAGGCAGCACCAGTGTTGAGCGAGGGTGGCTTTGGGTCGTGTTGGGTCCACATGGCAAATTGAGTTTAGGCACTAATGAAAATTGCTTATCAATAACTGCCAGCTCAGGCAAGGCTGAAACTCGCTGATACGTCCAAGAGAGGCAGATAATGGATGCTACGCATAATTGTAGTTCTTGCCCTGTGAGCGTTCCAGCTCTAATTGTTGATGTTTTTCATCAAGTAGCGTTTGGTCTGTTAAATAGGATGATTAAAGAGACTCTATTTTCAGGCTCTCCAGTCCACTGCCTTGTTCGCTTTAATTAACTGTAGATCTGAAAAAATAGCTTATTGATGGATTCCACTGATTGCATGATGGAGCAGGGTCTAACACAGTCCTGATTTACCGGGGGGATGGGGAGGTAGAGCTTTGTGGGTTTATGGCTATGTCGGATTGATTTCCGAGCCTGATTGGTTTTGCTGCTGTCACTGGAAGTGCTGTCAGCCCTGGGGACTGGAAGAGGGCCTTTCATAGCCAGTTACCCCCATCTGGGAGCAACATTGCATGAGAGTTTCTTCAGAGCTAATCATTCTACCTCACCTGAGGCAAGGTGGAGAGAAAACTACAGAGCCCTCCTCTGCGAAGGGGTGAGCCATTTGATTAGTGACTTAGTAGAGCTAAGAAGGAAGAACAATTGCTTGTGGGGGGTTGGTTTTTTGGGGTTTTTTTGAAAAGCTCTCCTGAAAGGAGGATACTGTTGGGGAGTTGAAGAAGGGTTAGGTGACTGATGATGATTAGTGGTAGTAATGGCAGGCTTGAGCATCCTAATCCTTCAAACCTAATCCTGAAAAGTGCAAACAAAGGGGATTTCTGGTGTCTTTTCCCACAGCACCATTCCTGAGGTCACAATTGCTCTCTCTGTTCCAGGTGGGGGTTCCAATCCATTTCAGCACCTGGAGAAGAGTGCAGTATTGCAAGAGGTAAATCCTTAAAATCCCATGGAGCTCACTGTCTCTCTTGCACACAGTGACATGGTCTCTTCTTACTTAGAGACTCTTAGCAACTAACTACAATTTTGCCTCAATGCTGCTGTTATTTAAGTCAGTGGCAAAACATCCCTGAGTGTTTTTTTGAAGGGAAGTGAGTAATTGTATTTGTCTGACAATGAAAAGAGTCCATGTGCTATAAATCTGAACAGACAGATGCATTCTCATCCATTGGAAAGATGAGCTTTTCTTACCAAGGGAGGGACTGATCTCAGATATCCTAAAATTCTGCTTAGGATAAGGAAAATTGTAAGCAGCCTGCAGATGGTTATGGGATAGTCTTTGCCTAATGCAGCATGGGTCTGGTCTGAGAAATGATTATTTAGGGAAAAAAATCTCCTCCCGTCATAGACCAGCTGCCTGTGTGTTCAGAGTCATCTGTTCATACATGGTATTTTTAGTAATGTTGCCTCCTGTCAGCCTTGGGTAGAGCTGGCTCAGCTCTGGGAGAGGGAGCTGTATCCTAACCTGGCCTGTGCATCAGTGCAAGAACTGCTGTTGCTCCTGGCATTGGGGTTGCATGGGTGTGACTGAGGTCTGAATTTGGCCTCTCAAACTTTGATTACAGCAAGGCTTTTTGACAGCAGGCTGAGTTAATAGGGCTGTTTGTGAATAGAGAACAGCTGCTTAATTATGAACTGGGAAAAGCTGTTCTGAAGTAATTGAGAACAGTCTTAAAATACCCAGCTGGGAACATATTAGCTATAGCATCCTTGCTTTAAAGAAAGTGTTGTGTTGGGTAAACCATATCTCCTTTGGGTCTGACTCGTGCTTGTGTTTGCTCCTAGGCTCGGGTGTTTAATGAGACACCCATAAACCCTCGGAAATGTGCTCACATCCTCACCAGAATTTTGTACCTCATAAACCAGGTAATAGAAATATGAACAAGGAATCCTTCAGGTTTTAAACCTGTTTCTTCTAGAAATTAGTCTTGTCTGCTACATTCTGATAATTTAAATGTCTCATGAAATGATGCTTAATAACAGGAAAAGAAATGACTATTCTGTAAGTTGGCCCTTGTCAAAAGTTCTAGAGTGATGGAAGTGGACAGTTAAAAAAAAAAAAATTAAACGCACATGTTGATGACAACAGGAAATTAGTTTCGTAGCACTGCCTGATGGGCAATGTGGGCCTAACCCGAGTTTCGACTGGTGTTACAGGTCAGAATTTGAATAGGTTTTATGTGCCCAGTTGGATTTTTCAAAAGTACCTCAGCCTCTCAGGCATCTCTGCATTTTTAAGTATTTAGATAACTGGCTTCTTATTAGCCATCACAGCT